TTATAATAACTCAAATAATAATGCAAATAATATTTATAATGATAATACAAATAAGAAAGATAAGATGAGTAAAAATAGATGAAAAAATGTTGCGCGAGATAAACATAGAAGCCTCTTATGAAACGAGAAGTTATTACATTTCACAAGAATTTTGTTCTTATTTTTATGTTTAATGCGGATTTTTTCAAAAATGTACCCGTCAAATATGTATTTTAAAAAAGTATTCATAATTATATTGCAAATTTTGTTAGTTTTATTGTGTTTTTTGATGATTTTTTCAAAATTATCATAAAAAATGTTTATTAAACATTCAAATTGTAACTATTAATATTATAAATTTGTAAATTAATTATTTAAAACTCTAAATTTGTATATACATCGTATAATTTTATCAATTTCTTTTAATTTATTAATTGTTGTATAAGTTTACCATATAGAAGTTGTAACTTCAGAAAAGCGCTATAAAATACTTGCTTTGTGACGAAGTGCTATATAAAATTTTGCCATCCCTTTCTTCCAACAGCCATATTGATTGAAGAGTCCTTTGCTCTGTCTCGCTATTAGTTTTTGTTTTAAATACCGCGAAATAAAAAAATGTCTCGGTCGGACGGAAAAATTTACATCGGCAATTTGCCGCCAGATGTGAAAGAATCCGACATTGAAGATTTGTTCTACAAGTTCGGAAAAATTGCGGTCATAAACCTGAAGACTCCCAGTGGCCAGCCGCCATTTGCATTTGTTGAGTATGACGACCCAAGGTTCGTAAATGAATGTTTAATAAAACTTTTTATATTGATTTTTAGAAATGATTTTAAATGCTGTTTACATGAAATTTCAATATTTAATTTTAATACTAGATTTTATTCCAAATTTATTTCAAAATGGTTTTGTAAAAATTGTAATTGTAGAATCACTGACTGATGGATGATCTATCAGGCAGGATGTTGCATTTATGATTGAGGAGTTGGATCATTTGGATCCGCTAACTAACTTCAATTAGGAATTTGGTGGTGATGTGATTTTAGGAGGAGGACGAGGAATATTAATTCTAAGGAGGATGATAAGAATTAAATCGTTAATAATGTGAATAAGGATCCTAGCTTTTTGAATCGACCACCTTCTTTCATTATTGTTACATTGCTGGACTGGCAATCTCTTGACTGTTTTTCATCGCTACACCCTATTATGCTAACATTACTTGCTCCTTATTTTTTCATATAAAATGCACTAATCTAACTAATGCAAATGAACTGCTAATCTAATGGAGGATCTATACTAAGGAATTTGTGAGGAGGATAAGGATCAGGATAGGATTTTATTTGGAGGTTATTTTTTTGTATGTAAAACAAAAAATTATATCCCCCAGGTGTAAATGAGATGTTTTTTCATTCTTAGTTATTCATTGACAACTTTTTCATTGTCCGTTGTTCATCTTCGTTATATAGAAATCTCCATATAAGCATATTTATACTGTTTGATGACTAATGTTTTTATGCTGTCTGGATTTACATCAAACCTCCTTGACTATCCATCCTTGAATAATAATTTCATAACACAAAACCACATCATAACAGGGATGCGGAGGATGCCATACATGACAGAGATGGTTACAATTACGACGGGTACACCTTGAGAGTTGAGCATCCACGAGGCAACAGGTCAGGTGGAGGAGGAGATAGCAGGGGCAGTGGGGGCAGCAGAGGATATGGAGGAGGAAGGGATCGCGGAGGTGGAAGCAGACGTGGAGGAGGTGTCATGAGAAGGTCAGACTACAGAGTTCTTGTGTCAGGTTTGTTGGACATTTATTCATTTTTTAGTTTTTTTCAATTGTTTTTGGCTCTTGAAATTTATTCGAATGTTTAATATTTATTAATACAATTAATAATAATATAAAAATTGTAGGTTTGCCGAAGTCTGGTAGCTGGCAGGATCTGAAGGACCACATGAGGGAGGCAGGTGACGTCTGCTATTCTGATGTCTTCAAGGATGGTACTGGTGTCGTCGAGTTCCTCAGGTACGACGACATGAGATACGCTGCTCGGAAACTCGATGATTCAAAATTTAGATCGCACGAGGTTTGTTTGATTTCTGTGGGTTACTTGATCAGTTGGTTGGCTGGTTGATTAATTGATTGGTTGGTTTCCTAATCTCTCACAAATTCGATGCTTATTTATTCCTTCAGGGAGAGACGTCACACATACGAGTGAAGGAAGATTACAGCAAGAGCAAACGTAGCAGAAGCGGGTCGAGATCTAGAAGTAGGTCAAGGTCAAGAAGTGGCTCAAGGTCGTACTCCAAAAGGTCGCGGGGTAGTCCCAGCTACTCGCCAAGGAGATAAAGATCGTCGTGATTGTAATTGTAATGATAGTAACAGTTGTAATGGAGCAGTAACTGCAGTACTGGTGATGATAATAAGAATGATTGCTGTGATGTTTACAGGAACTGTGTGTGATTACAATATCATTATTGCCTAACATACATACAAATAGTGATGATGATTGGGATTGTCTCTAGTTCAGTTAAATATGTTGTGATGCAGATTATAATGAGATATATTTCTTCAATTGAAACGATGAATTTGATGCTTCCATTTTCATATTTATAAATACATAGGTTATGGGTATATAGATACATAAAATTCTAGATTTAACATTATATATATATTGTTTGTGTGAGTTATGCATTTGTTTATATCAAATGAAGTTTACATGGATGCATCAGCTTAAAATCGTCTACACACACACACGTGTATATATATATATAGTTTATCAGCTGCTATGGCTATTACTTTGATTTTTATCATTGAAGTTTTAATAATGATTTTTAAACTTTTTGAGTTTAAATACTATTATTATTGTTAGGAACTATGGTTTGTAATGAATGAATAAGTAGATAACTGCCTGCCTGCCTGCATGTTTATTTTTCTATTTTATTTAATTGAAAAACGTATTATAAAAAATATAACAACGATATAGTATAGAAAATATAGTTGTGATGATTGAAAGGTGCTGATGTCATTTGTGATGCTGTAGAAATGACATTATGGTGTGATGATAGCGAAAGGCTGAATTGTGTGTGGCGTAACGATGACGTCACATGTGATGGTGTTGTGATGATGGTGATGATGATGGTAAAGATGCATGTATAATAAGTACTATCACAGACGTTTCACGAGCACAACATTGGAGTGTAAATTCGAAATAAAATATATATCTGAAATATCAATAATGTATAGTCGTTTCAATTTTGAATAGATAGATGGAAAGAGAATAATAAATGAATGAAAAATAAATGTATACATAAATAAGCATAATATGTGTGTATGTATGCCAATGTATGTGATTGTATGGGTAGTTTTTAATGCTAATATAAATTTTGAGCTTTTAAATTAGAATTAGGTGCAGTTATATATATATATATATAAGTGTGTGCTTTAAATAAAATAAAAATTTTTAACTTGGATTCTGATCGGAAAATATAGACCTTTTTTAAAGAAAAAAGTTAAAAATTTTACCATCTAAACTTTAAAGTGTTCACATATGTATATGTAATTTATGAAATCTACAGAATTTCTAGCGTTGGATAGTTTTTGATTACATTTCTCAATATTCTTGTCATAATTTATTTCATTAACGTTAGAATAATATACAGTTTTCCAATTCATTCTCGAGTGTATAGGACCTATTTCTATTTTTCAATCATCTTCAGCACTTGTTGCAGTTTATCTAGAGAATTCGTATAACTCAGTACTTGTTGCCGTTTATATAGGGAATTTTTATAACCCAAGGCTTTGTTTCTCTGATTTGCATTTATCGTTATTATTGACGTTGTTAATTTCACTGTCCTCATTATCGTTAGTTACTACTGACTTTGTTAATTTTACTATCTTCCTTATTAATTTCTAGAAGTTCTGTAGATTTCATAAATTACTGCATTAATTATGGCCTTTTACCAGCATATGTATATATTTATGTATGCGTGTATATATATGTGATGTTTGTATGTCGTTTGTATAAGAATCTATATAATGTTATTTGAATTGTTTCCAGATCGCGAGTATATATATTTTTGCTGAGATAATTTAACATTGTATAATTTTTTAAAGTGTTCAGATGAGTATGTATGCTTGTGTGTATGTATAGGTATCTGTCTGCTTGTAGATCTATATTGTGGTATAGATCTTGGTATATGTTGTTCGTTTATGTCTGTATGTTTGTACGCTACCACAACTCAGACGATGGATCGATCGATAGATAGATTGATTGATTGGTTAATTGATTGACTGATTGGTTGATTAATTAATCGACCAGTCGATTTTTTAATTGTCCGGTTGATCAATGCGTTTTTTTTTAAACTTGTTCATATGTTGACTGAGATGAGACGAAAATATTAATGCAGATATGAATTCAAGTTATCATTTTTCTCAAGTATGAAACTCTCATTCCTCTTCCCTGAATCTCAAATTGGTACCTACTCTGGCTTATCTGAGTTCCCTAGAAGCACCTCTCAGTATGGCCCACCAAGATCGCTCCTACCCACCCATTCACTTGCCCCCGCGACAAACTCTTTTACAGTTTGAACCGAAGTACAAGAGGGATTTTTTGATCATCGGTATATCAATAAGGAAGATCATGATGATGACCAGTGAAACGATCGTTATGGCCACTCCAGCTATCATGTCACCCTTGGCTGCCTCCACAACCGTCACATTGGCAACTGTTGAGATAGCTGGGTGGTTGGTTGGTTGGTTGAATGATTGGTTGGATGATTATTTGCTTGATTGGTACTTTGAATACATCAGCATCATCAACAGCGTACCAACGCAGTCGGGAACAGCTGGAAGCCAGAGTCCGGCGGGATTGCACGAGACGATGATGGAGGTGTCTTTAACGTCCTTGAACTTCTTGCCGGTCGAACAAGTTAGGTTCAGAAGGCTGCCCACGCTGGAAGTGAAGTTGGTGGAGACGTAGGAAAGCATCGGGGTGCATGTTACCGCTGGAGGTTAGGGCCGGGTTTGGGGATTCATTTGGAAGGGGTGATTGGAGGGATTAATAGTTGAACAAATAAATGTATAAAAAACAGTCAGAACGTGGTAGATTTAAATCTTGTTGGTAATAAATAATGAAAATAAAACTTTGAAAAACTGAAAAGGTGGAAAATGTAAAACCAACGCAGACAGGTCCTCCATTTTTTCGGATCAGTGACAGCCGCCTCCACCGTGCTCCATCTGCCGTTCTCGCCACATCTTATTATCAGGTCGTATCCATCCCTTCCGAACCAGTACCCATTCAGGCATTCATACCTGAGAGAGTGTTTTCGATTAAGTTCGGAAAGATGCATGCTCACGTACACACATACATACAAACAAACACATATGCATTCATACATGCATACATACAGGCATACGTAAACATACTCAATGGTGTGGTTGAATGTCGTGATTATGTCTTCCGTAACAATGTATGCCTTCTCTACGGACGGGACTAAACCGCAATCTACGGCTGGTGAGTATGGAAATGATGATGTTTGTTATGATGATGATGATGTTCGTTATGATGATGATGACGTTCGTTATGATGATGATGGTGATGATGATGTTCGTTATAATGATGATGATGATGCTTGTGGTAGTGATGATGAAGTTGGTGACGAAGATGACGTATAATAAAAAACCAACCAGTGCATTTGACATCCACAGACCAAGTGCCGTCAACCTGGCAAACAACTGAAATGACATTCACCTTGTCCATCCCTTTGACGTAATGACCGGGGGCGCAAGAAACTGTCATGGCGGTCAAGTAGGGCAACTGTGATTCCGAGGTGTTCCAGTAGGAGTTAGAGATGTTTACGACTGGACAAGTTACAGCTGTGTTCAGTTAGGAAAGATTTTCAATGATTGGTTAGATTGCTTGCTTGATTGATTGGTAAGATGGCTTTGTTAGATGGATTGATTGATTGGTAGAATGGCTTGGTTAGATTGCTTGACTGATTGGTAGGATAGCTTGGCTAGATTGATCGTTTGTGATTGGCTGGATGATTTTGTTAAGATGACTGTGAGTCAGTTATTGTAGCCATTTTGACCAGTAATTAATAGTTTTTTGTTATTTCCTCAGAAGATATCCTCACAAAAATGACGTGGCCAAAATTTACTAACGAAAGCACTTTGAATATTTAGCGGGCGACCAGTTGGATCCATCGCAGATGATTGACATGCTGGTGACCGCCTTCTCGAACCAGTAGCCAACGTCGCAAACGTACGTCACGTTCGAATTTTTGAGAGCCAATATGGAAAGCGGCGTGGCGAAGGGAATTGTACCGATTGGGTCGCAGCGATTGGCTGTCAAATTTAAATTTCATCAATATAAATTATGATAATGAGGAATGTTATTTGACCAATCAAAAACGAAACCATGCTTATTTTCCTAACCGATCAATAAATTAACACTTATTAACCTCCACAATGAACGTTATCGAAATTCCACTGTCCGTTGTCCGTACATTTGAGGTGCCGTAACTTGGTACCATCGTCAAACTTCTGGCTTTGAACTAAGCACGTATATTGAATGTCCGTCATGAATGGATAGGGCCTGATTGGTTTGTTGATTGGTTGTTTGGTTAATTGATTGGTTGATTGGATGTATTACAATGATTAGATTTGAATAAGCGAATGACTGGCATTTATTTAATTGATTGAATGAACAACTAATTAACTGAAACAGAAATGCTAAATATAGAAACAAACACGTCATCTAATTATCTAAATTCTCATTGGCCGAATAAATAACCAATAACCTGGTTGGAAACTCGAGTGGATCATAGTTAGCAACTGAACTTGTGTCGTTCTGGTGGGGGTTGGTGCAGATCACATCTGCACAATAGTAATAATAATAAAAATAATAATAACAATAATAATGATAGTAATGATAATGATAAAATGTAACCTACCACTACAATTTTCGACAGTATCGTTCCACATCGCCGAAACCAGACCGGTTATATTGACTTCTATGCATTCATACATCTGATGATGATGGTGGTGATGATGATGGTGGTGGTGATGGTGAGGGTGGTGGTGTGGTGAGGGTTATGATAACCTTGTTAGTTTTGAAATGCGGGAACATGAAGCCAGGTTCGCACTTGGCCGATAATACGGTGCCGTATATTGTATCTTTGGTACTTAATTTTACTCGATCGGTCACTATCATGTCGTCACAAAATAGGGCTGTTGTCGTGATGATGACGATGAAGATGAGGATGACGTTGATGACTGTAGTGGTGATTGCGTTGTAACTCTAATGATTGGTTGTCAAGTGATTATAGGTGAAAAGTTAAACAAAAATGTAGCGCTCTATCATTTTGTTTTTCACAAAAATATTTTAAAAAACGGAAATAGAAACGTGCCCACCATTGCAAGGTTCTATTTCCGGCCAACTACCATTCTCTTTGAAACACGTGACCGTCTGTTCGGATCTTCCGTCAGGAAATCTGTGACCCTGATAACGATGATGGTGATGATGATGATGACGGTGATGATGATAATGATGACGAAGAAGATGATGATGATGATATAACTACTTTGAAGCATCTGTAGACGGTGGTCCCAATATCCGGATAATATTTCGCAGTTGTATTGTAGATGACCAGAGGACTCACACATCCGTAGGCTGTGTGATGATGAGGATGGCGACGCTGATTCATTCATTCATTCATTTATCCATTCATACATTCACTCACTGCATTCGGATGGCGGTGCAACAAGTGTGGGCTTCCCATTCACAGACGTGCATTTCGAACATTCCTGCTTTCCACCTGAGAATGAATGAATGAATGAGTGAGTGAATAGACCCACAAAAAAACAAGTTTACCATTTCTGAAAAATTTCGGAGCAGCGCTGCCATCATCACTTGGACAAATTTTTTCTATTATCTGAGACGGTTTATAAACCGTAGTTGAGCTTGAACAGTTTTGAGCTGTTGGGGTAAATAATATAAATAAATTATGTTAATGAGGTTGGCTTATGGATTGTAATAAATTACGTTAATGAGGTGGATTAAGAATATTAAATAACTACAAACGTAAGGGTGAACAACGTTTTCACGAAGTTAAACTCGGTGAAATAATGATATCCCCATCAACATCATAATCATCCCCACCATCATCATCATCACACCATTATCATCATAACTCACGGACACATTCTGGAACAATAGAACCCCAATCGTATTTCTGACATATCAACGTTCGAACTTTTTCACCGGAAGAGAAAGCATAACTGGTGAAGATGAGGATTGGGATGATGGTAATGATTGTGATTATTATCATCATTACAAATCAAATCAATAACCCAGTGTTGCAGGTGTATATAACAGCCATGCCGAGTTGGTCTTTATAAAGTGCCTGCAATGATAATAATTATTATTACTACTACTACTGCTGCTGCTGCTGCTACTATTACTACTACTACTACTACTAATATTTCTACTACTAATCAATAATTAATAATAATAATAATTTTTATAATTATAGTTACTTGTTCGGCGTTTTTAACTTCGGGTGGACTCCAACATTGCATATCGTACATGGGTGCTATCGACAACAACAACAGCAACAATAATTATTATTATTATTAATTATAAATATTACTGCTGTAATAACCATAATAATTACTAAAATAACAGTAATAATAATAACCATTTTATTATAGAATGAAACGAGATGATACCTGTAGTTGGTGGTATGCCTGTTGGCACGGTGATATCTGTAAAGTAATTTTTTATTATAAACATTTAATGAAAAATATTTTTCTTATAATTATATATAATTATGAAAAATTAGGGATAATTATAACCTGTGACACGATTATTGTTGTTCACGTTCACAGGATTCTCAACGATGAATTGTTTGACTTGGACATTGCAGAGCTGGTAACTTGAAGTATCGGCCCCGTTCATTATTACGTAACATTCGACTGATTATCAATTTTTTCGAGGACAATTATAACCGTAATAATAATAATAATTATTATTATTATTATCATTATGGTTATTGCAAGAACAGAAAACTCAAAAATCTGACAAATCTCGACAAAGCCGACAAAAAAGCGACATTAAGTATGACAAAGAGGCGACAAAATACCGACTGATGTTGGTGATATTCCTGACGACAGCCGCCATGCAGTCGACGATTCCACACGCGCAGTAAGCTTTGCAGTCGACTTCACTTCTGATGTTGTCGGCCACAATGAGGCCACTACTACATTTGTACGTTGTGTTGTAGAAGACGTTGTTCGTGCTGCAGAGCTCAGAGAGAACTGTGAAGGTGAAGATGACGATGTTGCTGTTTTTGTTGTAGTTGATGTTGTTCGTGGAATTTGTGCTTCATCGTCGTTCTCACTACCATTTCATCATCAAACAAATACAAACAGACACAAATACACACACACAAACACACACACGTACATGCACACAAACAGGCATACACAGAACAAAAAACAACATAAAACATAGATAAATAATAATTTATACATAAATAAATATTTTATGACCCTATTCGTTCGTTTGTCGTTCGTCGCTAAGCAACCACACGTCAAACAATTCTTAAACAAATGAAAAAATAGATAGATCGTGAGATGAAAGAGAGAAAAAAGAAGAGATGGAGAGAGAGAGAGAAAAAAGAGAAAGAGAACGGAAGAAACAGTCAGAAAGAGAAAAAAGGAGAAAGGGAGAAAGAGGAGAGAGCTGACAACGAGAAAATGAACGTGACCGACAGAACAATTGAAAAGAAAATCCGTAAAAAATAGTAGGTAAGCATAAAGACAGAAAGACAGAAAGGAAGAAAAGAATGAAGAGAGATGTTCAGCAGGAGAGAGGAAGAGAGAAAAAGAAAGAAAAAGATAAAGGTAGAAAAAGAGTGAAAAGAATACCGATTTTTTCGTTGGCTTTTCGTATTTTTAAAGAACGTTTGCTTTAAAAAAGTGTACTTCTATAAATAGTTCTGTGAGCTGATAGTGAAGATTGTGGCAAATATGATGATGAACACATACTGTACACACACACACGCACACACACAAACAGACAGCAGGCACACATACACACACACAAACAGACAGCAGGCACACATACACACACACACACACACAGACATTACACGCATACTTGGTTTAGTGCAGGTAGTTGTATCAAAGACATAGACAGACGTAGCAGTTGAAGTGGTCAGGGCCGACGTATTGACCTCCTTATAATAAACACCGCACACTCCGCTGCCAGATCTAGAAACCTGAAATCAGGTTAAATAAAAATCGAATCAAATTGAAAGCGAAAGTGAAACTACAAATAAAACTACCTGGAAAGCCAAGCATTGAAAACTCGAGTTGCAAGCTTGAAAGCATTGGACCGGAGTATGTGGTTCGATCAGGTATATGATGTCGAAGGAGTATGAAACTTTTGCATGCAGGTTGAAACAGGGGAACGCTACGTACGTACGTGCGTGTATGTTAGTGTGTGTGTGTGTATTTGTGTGTGTGTGTGTGTGTGTTTGTTTGTCTGTATGTATACGTACGTACGTGTATGTTAGTGTGTGTGTGTGTGTGTGTGTGTTTATCTGTATGTAAACGTACGTACGTGTATGTTAGTGTGTGTGTACGTATGTTAGAGATGGCTGGTTTGATTAGTAGATGAATAAATGATTGGATGAATGAATGAATGAATGGACGAACGAATGAATTAATGAATGAACAAACAAATGAATGGATGAATGGATAAATAAATAGTTTGAATGAAATAAAAGAATGAAAATCGAACCTGGGTCGACGTAATTGTCAATGGAAACCGGCTGAGTTGTTGTTGTTGTTACAGCGGCTGGATCGGAAAGAATTCATTCAATTTATTCGTTAAAAATTATTCAAATAACTAAAATATGAAATAATATTATCAAATACAAAAATTATAATTCAAGATATAATATTATATAAAATAATTAATTGATAAATTTCTAAAATACAGAAATTCTTTCTCCCCAAACGCAAACACGCACCGGTTATAGTTGAACTAACAGCAGCTGTAGTAGCAGCAGCCGTTGTAGCGGCTGTAGTGGCAGCTGTAGTTTTAGTAGTAGTAGTAGTAGTAGCAGAATCGGCCGTCCCACTTGCCCCACCAGAACCAGCTTGGGCAGTTGTAGTAGTAGCAGCAGCAGTAGTAGAAGTAATTGTTGATGTTGTTGTAGTAGCGTTAGTTTGTGCCAATGTTGTTTGAGTTGTTGTCGCTGATGTTGATGTTGTTGTAGTTGTTTGCTGTTTTGTTGTTGTTGTTTGTGTTGTTGTGGTTGTAGCTTGCTGGGTTGTAGTAGCTGCAAAATATAATATCTTTGTTTGAATATTTCTTTGTTATATTTTTTATTATCATTATTACCACAAAGGCATTATTATTTTCGTTATATATTATAATATGAAAAATATGAAAAACTCGTATTTGAACGAATCCAAACATCATGGCATAAATTCATTCATCATTCAGTTACCCATTCATTCACTCATTCATTCATTCATTCATTCATTCATCCATCCATTCATTTTTTCACTCGCACACCCACACAAACATTATGACGTAGTAAATAAATAACATCAATAAGCAATCAATAAATCTACAAAGGCATAAACAACGTTCAATTCATTGAAGACAGACACACGCACGCACGCACGCACACACACACACACACACATACATACATTCATGCATGCATGCATACATACATACCTACATACTACATACATACATACTACATACATCATACATACATACATACATACATACATACATACATACATACATACATACATACATACATACATACATACATACATACATACATACATACATACATACATACATACATACATACATACATACATATATACATACATACATACATTCATACATACAAACATTCAGAATCACAAGATATCGATATATTTCAAAACAATAAGCCTGTGACAATGTCCTCCTAGTAAAATCAGCTTCCCATATTAAGCCTCATAGTTTTTGGTCTTTCTATCTCTTTCTCCTTTTCTTTCTCTCTGTCTCTCTACCTCTCTCTCTCTTTGCATTTTGATATTCACATACATGCATACACGCACACGTCCACAATATGCATCTTCATCGTACAACACCCGTGCATCCTACTCGTACTGATTCAGTCAACATGTTCCATTACAAATTTACAAGAATTTATGCAAATTTACGTTAATTAGTATGTTAATTTATGCAAATTTATGTAAATAAATGAGAGATTGAATGGAACTATTTACTTCTTCACTACTCACTCATAATGGTCGTCGTAGTCTCCAATATTTCAGCTGTGTAAAATGTAAAAAATTATTTAGTTTTTTGACTTAATGAATGAATGAATAAACGAACGAATGAAGGAAAGATCAGTGAATTATGAATGAATGAATGAATGAATGAACGAATGAACGAATGAATGAACGAAAGATTGATGGAACGCGTAACTGATAGATGACAAAAATTGGAAAAATGAATTGTCGTGCGAACGAACAAACGAACAAATGACTGAATAAAAAAATGAATGAAGTAGTGAATAAATGAATAAAGAAAAGATTGAGTGAATGATTGAATAAAGAAAAGAATGAGTGAATAAACAAGCAGATGAAAGGATAAGCCATCAATAAAACTCACAGATATTGAAACAACCAATTGGCGAGTAGAGAGTATCATTGCTACTCCAACAGCAACCGTAATCGTTGCAGCATATTTCAGTTATGTTGCCGTAACCGCAATCTGTTTTAACAGGGTTGGGGTCCAAGAATAAGGATGTACAATTATGAGAATTAGTACATTGTAATAGATGAATAAATGAATGAATGAATGAGTTATTTTTACATTGTCATATATGAAAATGATAATACATAAACATATATAGCACATCAACATGATTACGAATTCTGTATTAAGGGGGGTCCAAGAATAGGGATGTACAGTACACTCATGAAAACCGATACAATTAGGGAAAATTAGTGTTTCATAACATGTTTATTAATGTTATAGTGTGATTGAAATAAAATTTGTAAAACTTTTTACAAACCGTCTTGACTTTGAACTGGGAAGATGGAGTTGAAAAAGTTCGAAATAACGAAGATAATAACGAAGACCCTGAGAAAGTGCCACGAAAAATTATATTTATTTGGAGACATCTTGATAGTTTATCAGTTTTCCGTCAATTTTTTTAACTTTTTATTTTAATTTGGTCGTTTTTTTTATTAAACGAATTAAAAACGTTTGGTTTAAATGAAAGAAAGCTGGATTTAGTTAGTTAATATTACTTTAAATAATTAATTTAAAATGCTACGACATTAAGAAGAATGAATAGTATTATTTTTCAATTTCTTCTTATTTTTCTTCAAACCTAACTTCTAGTAAGCAATATAAAATGTTCTCAAGGACGATCCCTCATCAGTTTAATTATAATAATCTTATCTATACATCTATAACGATTTACCAGCAGAGAGTAATAAATTTGCCATCCTAATTATTAATAATGCCTACGAAAATATCTATAATAGCATTATCAAATAACTAAAATTAACTCTAAGACAATTTTTTTGCTTATAACAACCTCTCACTCTTCGTATATATATATATATATATATATATATATATATATATATATATATATATATATATAAATATATATATTACAATTTATAAGCCTATAACAATATCATCATAATCACTTGTTGTTCTCAATAACATTAATGATAATGACGATAATAAAAACCTTACTAACATTATTAACAACAAATAATAAACACAGTAATAGTAATAAGAATAAATAATAATTATAAGAGGAAGAGGAAGAAAAAGAAGAAGAAGATGATGATGATGAAGAAGAAGAAGAAGAAGAAGAAAAAGAAAGAATTGTAGGTTTAGTTTATATCGACATTCAAATTTAATAATATTATATTTTGCAATATCAGGAAAGTATAGTTGTCATAATAATTATTAATATTGTTATTATTAATATTGTTGTTGTTGTCGTCGTCGTTAAGCAGCCATGCTGATCGTCATCGTCGTCACCACTCCATCAGAATAATCCCGTCATTGTTGCTATGATTATTATCGTTATTGTTGTTATAATTATTATTGTTATTGTTGTTGCTATTATTATTGTTGTTGTTGTCATTATAATTATTGTTATTATTGAGCGTCACGGTCGTCGTGGTGACGATCAACAAAAGATACTAAATACGTCTTCTTGTTCAGGACGCGTGTAAACTAATCAATGGCACAAAAATGTGAAGCAACAAGTTGTAGTGGTAGTGATGGTGATGATGACGACGACGACAACAACGAGGATGATGATGAATATTAAACAGCATCATCATCATCATTATACTATCGTTCCTATATGCTTAAACGACGCCAAAACTATCGAACTTTTTGAATGACATTGACAGGATGGTGGAATGACGACGGCGACGATGATGACGATGAAGATGATGGTGGTAACGTTGGTGATGATAATGATGATGATGTTGTTGTGGTGTTTGATGATAACGACGACGATGATGGCGATGAGTTGGTTAGTAAACTTTTATTAACTTTTATAACGGACAATTTGTTATTGGTGAATGCAGGCGAAAATGACGATGATGATGATGATGTTGTTGCTGCCGCTGCTGATGATGTTGTTTCTGATGATGATGATGTTGTTGTTGTTGACGACGACGAAGAAGAAGAAGATGAAGACGATGATGAAGAAGTTGGTGCCAAAAAACTTACGTCTTTATTACAATGACTCTGGCGCGATCGATGATGATGATAATCATAACTGTCGGACTGATGAAGATGATGATGATGATGAGTAGGAGGAAGAAGATGAAGAGGACGACGATGATGATTTTTTTCATCTAAAACCTGAGCGGAACAATCATAAACAAAATTCTCAACGTCGCTATCTTCAAACCTGCAAGAATTAAAATGCGATTTTTTTTTGGAAGCGACAGCAGTAGCAGCAGTAGTAGTAGCAGCAGTAGTAGTAGCAGCAGTAGTAGCTTCATTATCATCATTATAACAGCTGTTAACAGTAGTAGTGGTTAAATCATTACTTCGATCGTATTCGCATTTATAATTATTCATATAGTTATTACTATTATTGTCGTTACTATTATAGTAACAACAATAATAAAAGTTATTATTATTCTTATCATTATTTATTATATTGTTATTATAGCAATAATTATAGGCGTAGTTATTATTATCCATCAAAATATGATCACCGCTCTGACGACCCTGCAGTATTTCATTTTTCACTTCCTCAAAAGCATTCATAGTTGTAGTTTTAGTAGTAGTGTTGTTGTTGGTGGTGGTGGTAGTAGTAGTAGTAGTAGTAGTAGTAGTGGTAGGAGTAGTAGTAGAAGTAGTTGTTGTGGTGGTGGTGGTTGTGGTAGCTGTAGCTGCAATATAAAACCCGCCATTTAATAGGAACATCGATCTGTGGTAATAATTTGAGTATTCGAGTTTAGTTAGATGTTCATCGTTCTCTAATTGGAAGGTGCTAGATGGGAGGTACGTCTGCGAATTCGGGTGATTAATATCAAACTTATTCGAGAGTTCGTTGTTGCTATTGTTGTTGTTGCTGATGATGTTGTTGTTGATGGTGATGTTGTACAAATCGTTGAGGAAGTAATAGTTGTAGTTTTGTTTGTTGTTGTTGTTGTGGGTTGTGATATCATCATCAACATCATCATCATTGCTATTGTTGTTTATGTTGATGTTGTTTCTATTGATTGCCTCTGTATGCAAATCCATAGATAAAAATTTGTACACATTGTAGTCGTTGTGGTTTTTAATGTCTACGCTGTTGTTGTCCATGTTGTCTATGTTGTTGTTGCCAATGTTGTTGTTGTTGCTTAAATGGTTGCAACAGCTGTTGTAGTAATGGTAGTTGTTGAAAAAATTGTGAAATGAGTAATCGTGCAATGAGTGATTGTTGTTGTTGTTGATGTTGTTGTTGTTGTTGTTGTTATCGGAATTGAATCTACAATAACTCTTGTTAGGTTCATCATCGTCATCATCGCCGTTTATGTTATTATTATCATCAATATTGTTGTTATTATTATTATTGTTATTATTGATGATGATGTTGTTGTTGTTGTTGTAATAGTAACGATTATTATTAGTATTACTATTGCTATTGGTGTTGTACTTATAATAATGATAACAATCGTAATAATTGTTGTAATATATTTTAAAGTAACTATCATCATCATCGTTATTATTTTTATTATTTTCGTTGTTGTTGCTATTGTTGTTATTATTACTATTATTGTTGTCATTATATAGCGCTAAATAACTATGGTCGATTGGTTTGTACGTAGTTGAATCGTACGTATTATAATAGCTCGAATAGTCGATGAGGCTATTAATGTTGTTATTGTTGATATTATTGTTGATGTCGTTGCTGATGTTGTTATTGTTGATGTTGTTGTTGTTGTTGTTGTTGTTGATGTTGTTGTTGATGTTGTTGTTGATGTTGTTTATTTCTCTATACGGTGTTTTTCTCTTACGAACAGTTTGTAAATAGTCACGCATCTGATGGCGCGGTTTTCGTAGTTTTGTTTTACTGTTGTTATTATTATTATTATTGTTGTTGTTTTTGTTGATATTTTTGTTGATGCTGTCAATTTTGTTGTTGTTGTTGTTGTGTGACGTTACTTCGTTTACCTCTCGAAATTGTTGTTGTGGTTGTTTTTTATGTTGATGTAGTTGTTGCTGTTGTTGTTGTTGCGATATCTGTTTGTCTTTCACTTTATTTGTTGTTGTTGTTGTTTTTAATTTGTTTTTATTATTGCTGTTGTTGCTATTATTATTATTATTGTTATTGTTATTGTTGTTGTTGTTATTAATGACATGAACATCGTCATTGATGTTAGAATTGGTAGTTGATGAAATTGGCGATGACGATGATGGCGATGATGATAACGCTACTGCTGATGATGAAGAAGAAGATGATGAAGAAGAAGATGATGAAGAAGAAGATGATGAAGAAGATAATGAAGATGACGCTAGCGATGATGATGATGTCGTCACATCAAGTGCATAGGGCAGTTTGAACTCTGAACCCCGTTTTTTGAAGAGGTCAACGCCTTCGTCATCACTAAATATTCATAATTATAATTATTTATATTATAAATAATATTGTAAATAATATATATTTTGGTTTCATGCAGATAAATACGTTTTAACATCAGATGAAAAATATTGTTTCGTTATTTGTTAAGGTAACAAGTGATTCGAGCGAGCGTCCGGCCAGCATTGTCATTATCACGTCAATGTTCTTCATGTATTCTTCACCATGTTCTCAGTAACTTCTTGGAAATCATTGCCATCATCTATCGCCAACTTTCAAACCCAGCACTCGTTTCCAAGAGGAATAAGATTCCAAAAGCCACAACAGTTCAGCAAAGCCTCACGATTCATATAAAACACGAATTTTTCCTACTTTCTTAATTCCTACTTCTCATTTTTTCTTTACAAAGTTATTTCTGACAAACTTTTTCAAACAAATTTCCAGATAACTTGTCGATAACGCGATTCTTGGTTTCTCGTTTTGATGAGAAATGAAGCCCTGATTGGTTGCTGTTGTACTGTGCGAAGATGCAACTAGAAATTACTATTTTTTCATTATCGCCATCTTCCTTTGCGTTTCAAATGGGATGGAAGATAATAACGATCGTGAGAAACTAAAATTGATGACGAGAATTGATGGTAACGATGATGGCGATGATGACAATGATGATGATGAAGATGATGCAGATGATGGTGATAACTTACGTCAATTTCCGATAGACAGAACTGATAAAATCAGGCCTACTGTTTTTGTAGACAACTTTCGCACTTGTTTGCAACCAAATGAATTTATAATCTTTGGTAACAAAGCGGTAGGCTATCAAACCGGAACTTCCTGTTTTTATTACTGCATTGGGATGAAGTTAATGACAATGATATCATCATAAACAACAAAATTTCATCCTCACCTTCAACATCGTTGTCCTCAGCGCAACAACATCGTCACCACCACCATCGCCATCATCATCATCATCATCATCTTCGTCACCATCAGTATCATCATCAAAACGTACGTTCTTGATGAGCGCACGCATAATAATTGAGATCGTCCGGATGTATCAGCTGATACCCGCTTATTGAGGCCAGTTCTCGGTCCGTATAGCCGAATAGCATCTTGCCTCT